GAGTCAAGCATATTCCTATTGTAGTTTTTCTTCCTTCCTCTCTCTCTCTCTTTTACTTACTCGCTGGGTCTCCTTTCAACCTATTTCAATGATGGCAGCCCTCATTAACAGCCTTTTGGCTTATCTCTGTATTCCTAATAAGGAAGTGGTTTTGGATGCATGGAAGGTCATCTAATTCTAACTTAGTTGGAATCCATTACTGCTACTTGAGCAAGGCTACAAAGAGCTGATCCGGGCTATAGATGTTTCCCTTTAAGAAATTCACAAAGATAGGAGATTATGCCTAATCATGGTTTGCAAAAATAAGGAATAGGTTAGAATACACTAGTAATAAAAAGACACATAATAAGCAATTACTTACTAGTATGACTTTTGATGATGCATTTGAAGCATTGGGGCCATCATTTATTGAAATAGAGGCAAGCATCTTTGTCCATTAACTCCACCTTACACTACTTTTGAGTAGTGTGAAATGGCCCCTTGGTCGATGGCTTCTCTGTCCAGTAACTCCATATTAACTTAGGGGGATAGTTCCCGCGGTATGCATTGGCTCAACCTGAATTGACCTGCCACCAATTGGGGATGACAAGACTTTATAAAAACCCTTAAGGACTTAGAGGAGGAGCCAGTAAAAGGAAGCCACATTTTCTTAAGGGTGGTGGTTGGGAGAAAGATCTCATCCCTTAGCAATGAGGCCAGCTCATTGTTCTGGTTTACTAGAAATCAGTACCAAGTAGGGAGGTGGCTGTTCATAATGTTGAAAGGCTTCAAGGTCTTTTACAAGGACTAGCTTTATCAATAGAAAAAATCAAAGAAATTCTTCGATTCGTTAAGAGGAAGGGCGACCAATAGACCAGTGAAGGGGTGAGTAATGTGGGACTCCTTGGGAAAGGTTTTTGATGGAGTAGAGGGAAGTAAGCAATTGTCCATAATTTTAAAAACTAGATAAGCCCGTGAAAATTACTGAAGGGCTTCTTTTGGAAGGACTCCCTCATGCCGTCATATAGACGACATAGAAATATGGTCCCTAAGGCTAGTTAATTATCGTAGAGTAGAAACTTAGCAATGCACAAGTGAAATTGTACTAGCTTGCCTCCCTTTGGGGCCAAGATCTACTGGCTCAGTAAGATCCAAATGAAGACCAAGTGTTCTGTAGGGGTTACGAGCTTGTTAGCTAGCTTTTTAGAAAACAACTCCATGATCCGTATATAGGAGCCAGCACCCCTAATCTTAGATTCCAGGTCATTAGGTAGAGTGACATAAGAGTCATGCCTTTTAGGGATAGTAAAAAAGTTCTCCTCCTTGATGATCAGTAGCCCTAGATACATGAACATGTCCTAGAGTGTGATCAACATAGGCTCAACTTGAAGCAAAAGGCATCGCAATGGGTGCCCAAAAACTCAGAAAGGTCATCAATAAATTAACAGGAATGTCGACGTTAGTCAATGAAAGTTGGATAAAGTCATAAAGACCTATCTTGTAACCTCCTCTTATATCCACTCAATATAAGAGAAGATTATAGTATTACCACATCATTCATAATAATTAGTAAACGAATGTTTTGTTTGAAAAGCTTGAGCCCAAGACTCATTTCACAAAATCATAAATTCATTAGAGAAAAACATAGCAGAAGTAATATGCACATTACTCTAATACGTAGTGGGCATAACCTACCAGCATTCCTATCTCAATTGCATGCATTTTCATCAGAAAATAAAGTTGAGATTTGGTCCGTTCGTGGTGTGCAGTAGTGCATCGCAGCATGTGGCACAGAGCCACACACTTAACCTGTTTTGTGTCATGCAATGCAATGCGCTTGTCCAATTTTCTACCATTTTGACAGCAAAAATGATAAACTTTTGGCATGTGCCGTTTTCACATACGACATCCAATTGGAGTGATTCAAGCGCTCACATGTAGCTTAGCTCATAAGCTAACTAATGAGATAGGTTTGGATGTAATCTAATGGTCTAATTAAAATTTAGACACTCGGTGCAAAAAGTCAGTTTTTCTAAAAATTTTGCGCACCCAAGCACTTAAATCAATCCTTTTCTCTTATTAGATCACACAAGGCCTTAAATCAAGTCCAAAAAGATCTAATATACTTGATTGACCATATTCTATCACAATCATACACATATATTGAAATTTGACCCTTCTATGGCAAATTTTCACATTTCACAATTTCACACACTTTGCCATTTCTAGGCATAAATTGACCTACTTTGCCATTTCTCAACATATTCATATAGATGACACATTCATAATACAATCTTAGCCTCAAATCACTCATTTCATTATAATTTGTCACTTGAGCTTAAGATTCACCAACAATCAACCACATTTCAATCACAAATATACTCAAGTTATAGCCCCTAATTCATTTCATCACAAATATCCACAATTGGGCTACAATTTCACAAATTTATTACTCAAAACATGCATGTAACCCTATGACAACTTATATACACATATATACACAATTCCTAGTTCAGTTCATTACACAACTCAGGGTACATGGCTTCACAACTCAAGCCGGTCTAGACTCTCTCCCTTGCTTAGATCACTTCCCGGTCCTGAAAATATGCAACCATAAGGGTGAGATAAAAATCTCAGTAACAAAGTAACTCACTCCTATTGACTATCACATGCAACAATATGAAAGTAAAGCATAGTATATCATTCAAATCTCATTAAAATAACATTTATATCATATATCTCATTTCATTCTCAACTTTTCATCATTCATATAGGACTCCATGCCATCTTATTATTGGAAATTGTGCCCTAGGGCCAATCATTGTACTATGCACATTGTTATTTAATGAATTTCTCTTTTATTATCATAACAATTGCATGTTCAATATGATAACTGTATTCTTGGACAAACTATAGTGATTGTCCTAAATATCCCTAGTTGGTCATCTTTGAGGGATCATAGATGAAACAAGACTAGTACAACTTTGATTAATTATAAAGATATAAATTAAAGTCATAGGCACTTGAAAGAGTACAAGGTACTGGACCGACCCACTATGAGAAAGCTGCATGGTACAAGTCATAAGCTTATCTCATATGTAACTATATCACTAAGCTCTTTGACTTGAGATCATCATGGATTCCTACATGATGAACACTAAGCTTTGACCTGGTCAAAAGTCACCTTTGACCGGGTGATCATAAAGGCTATCATTGAGTTTAGTGATATTTATGCAGAGAAATATGAGTAGTCAAGATGGAATTTGTTCCTCACATTAAGTGAGAGATATTACTGGCCTCTCGATGAGCAAGACTAAGAAAATGTATGGTCATACTTCAATGGAAATGGTTTTTTCCATTGCTACTGTCAATCTACTCAGAGATTGAGAAAGTAACAGTCAAGTAAAGGAGAATGACAATTCCTGTCTCATATTTGACTAAAATATCATATGACAAAAGGGATGTGTTATGGTTGCATGATAGGTTATATCAGATCATCGATCCCCATATGAATTAGATAGTTGTAATGTCTTGCTAGAGGCCACTTGTGACTTGTAGGCTAATAGTGTAATTAGTACTGCCAATTATATATATATTTGAATATTTATTTGATAAATATTTATATGTATATATATATATTTATGTGAAATATAAAATATAAAATATAATTATATATATATATGTATATATATATTTGAAATATATATATATATATATCCATATATGTATATATATATATATAGATATATATATATATATGACACATGCAAAATATATATATTCATATATATATATATAATATAATATGTATATGTGATATATTTTATATTATATGATATTATGTTAGTTTTAAATTTAATTTTATATGATAGATTAAATTTAATAACTAACATGATAAGAGTTATCATGTCAGTTTTATAATTTAAATTTATAAGATAAATTCAAATTAGATATGATATTATGGATTAAATTTATGAGATAAATTTAATTAAGTTTTCATTGGCTTTTAAGTGAAAGACGAAAACCCTTATCTATATACTATATATAGATAAGGATGTCCTTTTTGAAGGATGAGAGAGTTAGAAAAGTTCTTACTGCAAAAATATTTGAAAGCCACGAAACACTCTATAGAAAGAAAACTAATGTTTATAGAAGAACGAACACCGGGAGCACTAGCACACTGTTCGAATTAGAGAGCTGTTTGTGTGGATATCGATAGATAGAGCAGATCTACGCTATCAGCTCCTGAGATCCAAACTCTTAAAGAGAACGTGCACCAAGTTTGAAGAATTAAAAGGTAACTCTTCTATCCACCTTGACTTAAACGAGTTCATTCGGTCTATATCAGGATAGGGACTTTAAAATTTTAATCTTCCACTGTGCCTTTCTATCCAATACTCATAACATATTTCAACATATCATATAGCATGCTAGCATGATCACTATCAAACAAACCTCCAAATCACCCCGACACGAAACTTAAGCTCATCTTAGACCACTATGTATACTCTCATTAGCCTTAAGCTCACCTCTAGTAGTAGAATCACTTGACCAAAGATATTCTAATGCACAATATGGACTATGGTTTCCCCTAATATACACAATGGGACGTCATTGACTCCAACACCATATTAGAAAGACACTAAGACTAAGGAGTCTCTCATCTCTAACACCACACCTGAATAAGTACTAAGAAGATATTCTCCAACACTGTACCTTATAAGGCACTAAGGAGAATTGTTTCCAACATCATACCCTATCGGGTACTAAGGAAACCTTGCCATATGGTATTTATCTTAATTATTACCTTGTTCAGCTACTGGTAGTCTATACACAATCTCATGCTACCATCTTTCTTCCTAACAACAGAACAGGCGAACCCTAAGGTGAAATACTGGGTCTAATCAACCCCTTCTCCAAACTCCTCTGGCTGCTTCTTAAGCTCATTCAGGTCTATTGGAGCCATCCAATACGAAGCCTTAGAGATTGGCTCAATACTAGGTACCAAATCAATTGAGAACTCAATCTCTCTCTAGTGGCAATCCTGACACTTCATCTGTAAACACCTCAGGAAACTCATGGACAACTCCAATCTTGTCTAATGTACCATCATACACTCTGTGTATTAAGCAGTACACCAAGAAGGCTTGACATCCTTCTCTCACTAATTTCTCTACTTGTATTGTTGATAGGAACTTAGGAGTCTCCAGAGTAGTCACAGGTACAGGCGGTGCAATCGTATCATTTGTTGTAGTCACTGTGTACACTAGTAATGAAACCATCTTTCTATTATAGCTTAACGTCGTTCCATTGACAGACAACCAATCCATGCCAATTATCATGTCAATTCCTAACATGAGTAAACAAATTAAGTCAACACTTGTAACTATTTCACCAAATTTCAACTCTACTTTCAAGCAAGCCCGACTAGTTCTTACTGAAGCACCAGCTGGTGTAGACACATTCATCATGAAAGGCTTTTTAACAATATGTAAACTTAGTCTTTTTGCATACTCATCGGAAACAAATGAGTGAGTGGCACCAGAATCAAACAAAATAAAAATTTATTGATTGCTTAAAGAAATCATACCTCAGATAAGCTTTGGGGAAGCTTTAGTCTCTTTTCTTATCATAGCAAACACACGACCAGGAATGGCAGACCTCTAATCGATGTGAGAAGCATTCTTGGTCAATACCAAATGATGTGCCTAACATTGCGGCACTTGAAACTTGTCCAACAATCCCTAGTATAGTGTCTCCCATACTTGCTGCACTATGGGGCTCTAATCGGTCCAGCTACTGTAGGAGCAGAATCCTGTCTCGAGGCTTGACTCCATCCACCTATGCTCTTAGGGGCATTACTCCTTATTTGGGATCCTCTAGAATATGAACCCCTCTGGAAGCTTATCTTCTTACTACCACCATTGCCTAATCTAGATGGTACAGGGTTATATCCAGCTCTCTTTCCAACACCTCCAGTAAGACCTGTAAATGTAGAGAAACAGCCCCTACCATCTCTCCTTTGATTGTCCTTAGCCTCATGACCACGTCTAGCTACTACTCTCAACTTAGTACACATGCCACTGTATGAGACAATGTCGAAGGGTGCCAATTGCTGTCTGTAATCAGGTTGCATCTTCTTAAGTAATTGCTTAGCCTTCTAATACTCATCATCATGATTCCTCAAGTATGTTGAGTATTTAGAAAACTTGTTAAACTTAGCTATAAATTCTTCTTCATTCCTGTTTCCCTACTGCAGTCGGTAGAACTCAGCCTCTTTCTCAGCTATGAAGGAGGCAGGAAAATAGTAGGAGAAGAATCTCCTCTTGAACTTACTCCATGTCATTTGAGACCTATTTGCTGGTCTCACACTCTCTCACCACTGCTTGGTAGCATCCTCAAGCAGGAATGTAGCAAGTAATACCCACTGCTTAGACGTGTAGGTCATAACAGAAAAGATCATCTCTAACTGATCTATCTACTTCTTGGCTGCTCTATTCTCCATTGAACCCTCAAATGATAGAGGATTCAACCTTGTAAACTTCTTTAAAGCTAAATTAATAGAGCTCTCTTTCTTTTTTCCTCTAGGCCTCACTGGTTCAAGCCTCCTCAGTCCACTCTCTTTGTAGTAATCCTCCTCTTATTGGTTGAGTGCTTCCCTCTCTAGTCTTACTCCACCATGACCACCAACTCTTTCTACGGTCTTACTTGACTTTTTTTAGTCTTTTCTTTAAAATTTTATCATGCTCGTCTATTCTCTGTTCAATTGTTTCCATCATGCTTCTCAGCTTGAGCAATATATTCTCATTAACCATTGTAGGTCTCAGTTTCTCTCTAGCTTGACCCAAGCCTTGTCCTATCTCAACATGCTCACTGGGGACAATATTTTCTTCTTATACCAAGACTTCCCACATTTGTCTTGATACATTTGCTGTAATATTGCTAGCCGTATTTCTTGTTTGCACCATTCTCCCCTCTTAAGGATGGAAGTTATCCTACAAAAGAAAAATAATTAACACTAGATCAAAGGGGAAAAGAACATTGTATAATGTTAATTGCCAATTTTCTATATGCAAATGCATCATTCACAAGCAAACTCACACTTGATTCACAAATCTACAGTCCAGTTCTCATAACCAGAGAAATTGATACCAAACTGTACAAACCAAGAGACCAAACTATAAGGTCTCCTTTACTAAACCACTTGCAACTCCAAATCATGGCAATCTAGAGTTTAACTCTTAAAGGATTATTAAATTTTAAAATTTCATAAAAAGAGGATCTCTTAAATCTTTTTTGAAAAGAATCCCAATGTCAACAATTCACATCTCAAATATTATTTTAGTAAGTTCATATCAGAGTTTTAAAAGTAATGCAGAAGCTTGGAAATCAATTGGGACCTAAAATAATGAGTTTTAAAACTCAAAATAGATTTTGTGCAGAAAATGACATGTGCGTCGCAGCTTATGGCATATGCACTGTGCTTGTCTTCTTTGTGCCATGCACTGTGGTGTATTGCACGAATTTGACAGCATCAGTGCTGTCATTTGACAGCACAGGAAGCGAACTTTCAATGCATTCCAAATCTCCGTCTAATGTCCGATTGAGGTGGTTTTAGTGTCTATACTGAGCTTTTTCCTAGCTCTAGCTAATGGCATTAGTTTCACACTCAAACTCATTTTTCATAAGAAGTTGGGCACTAAAACCCATTTTGACCACTTTTTTACAAAATTTCACAAATGGGTGTCCCAACTCAACCACTCATGCCAGTAGCTTACACCAACATCCGACCACATTCAATGGACTCTCACAGACCCATGCAATGCACCATACACAAATAAAAACACTCATATAATAAAATCACCACTCAAGCCCCATTTTCACAAAACATTTAGGGGGAGGGGATGTTGCACAAAATCATCAATTTCATTCCAAATCTTTCAAAATACATATATTTCTACTTGCACAAGTACTTTGGCCTTAACCACGAGTTTGCAACCAAAACTCACTAACCCAGGGTACAAAATACACAAGATATACATAGAATCTTGCAAGTAGTGCTTAAATCATGTCAAATGATCCTAGTTGGCAATTACATCAACAAATACACATGAAAGTAACAAAAAGAGGCATAAAGAGGATTACTTTATAATCTTAGGCCTCTATGTATTTTCCTTGATTCGGATCCGATGAGTTAGGTCATGAAAATATTGAGAATTGAGGAATGAGTACAACCACTTAGTAATTAAGTTTCACCTAACCCATACAGTTGCATACTAATTGTAAATAGATGCAATTAGGCAAAAACACATATATGACATATAACACTCAGCCACGGTTCACAAAACTAACAACTATGTGACTAGGCTTATTATAGCACACTTTATCATGATATTTCACAAAACATAACACAGAGTTGCAAAAATAACAACCATACACCCTCAACACATGCTGAGCTATAAAACTAACGACCAAGTGGCCAACTTATATGCATGATCATATGCCAACCTTATATCCTCCCGTTACCTCCGGCACGAAACTGGTGGCTATCAACCCAGCCTTCCACTTGTGAGGAGCTACTGGGTTAAGGTAAACTTACTCACTTATGTAATCTAGTTTCTCCCAATATTAACAAACATGGGGTGTTGTAACCCTAATTTAGCCTCCTCACGAATCAGTGGAGACTAGTTAAGTTCGATCTCTCATAGAACAAGTGGGACAGTCTCGAATCAACCATGGGATAAGGGCTACCTCTTGATTCCAACAGCCGGTACCAAGGCTAGTTCCCAATTCCAACGGTCACTGCCAATACCACGTGAATTTCAACCAATCTACTCCTCTCCTTAGGCGAACTCCCACCAATGATCATGCTATATAGATTTCACATAATATGCATTTTAAATAATAAATTTATAGCAAACAATCTTATATACTCATATTCAATCACTCCATACTTTCAACATATCACATATCATTACTTTTACAATAACATGCCATAAGTAAATTTATAAATCATAGGTAATGGCATAATATTCCTTTCCAAAACCATTTCACAATCAAATTCCTTGCCCATATGCATCATTGATTTAAATCATCAAACCCATTTCACAAATACAATTAACATTCAACTATAAAAGCTAAGTTTCCCCTAGTTACCTCAAACCTTTGAGAGGTTAAAGGTTTAACCTAATTGGACTAAGCGTATGGAGACCAAAGCTAGTTCTAAAGTTTCTAATAGGAGGATTTAGTGAAGGCTAAAGTTGCTCGGGCCAAAATCAGGTTGTGAACTGAGGTTAACAACCATGGATTTGAGGGGTCACATCAGAAAGGTCAGGGGAGATGGTCAAATACTCAATGTCACTCTTATTGGAAACTTGAAAGCTTAAGGGAGATGTACTGGAGAGATAGAAAATAGTCAACATTTTATCCCTAAAATATGAGGACCAAGTAGAAAGTGAGAGACTTTCCAGAAAGTGATGAAGGAATGAAAATATGAATCATCTTGAAGCAAAAATTAGGGAGACATTAGATTAAGAACTAAATCTAGAAAAATGTGAATTTAAAATAAAGTACGTACCATCGTCAATCCTCCTAACGAAGCAATAGAGTTCCAAATTGTGACCAAGGAATCAAGTAAACTTCTAGTAGAAGTATTAGATGGTGTAGCAGTGGATGCAGTGGCAACCGAAGAAGAAGCCATTATTGAGAAAAGGAATGACCAAAGCAAGAAAGGAAGAAACTTAAATGACAAGAAACGATAAGGAGAGCAAGGTAAACAACTAAGAAAAGAAACAAAAATTTATATTGACAAAAGGGTGCTTAGAGACGAAGCAACATTTTAGTCTTTTTCAAACGTGCCACGTGGCTTACGTTTATCAGCCATTAGTATGTAGGAGGTATTGTTTGTGTTAAATATGAAATGTTGCTTGCCAAAGCGTTTGAGTATGCCATAAATTCATATGGGCTAAGTAACTGAAGAGTCAAGCCCAATCAAAAATCTAAACACAAGGGCTAGCCTAGATCTCAATAGAAAGCCTCAGCTAGATAAACACATCGAAATCTTGCTAGTCATAAACCTACTCCTTAGACCATTGGTACATAAAATCACAATCTCGAACAATCTTGGATCTTGCAAGAACATAATTGTTATGCCTAAGTATCTCGAAGAAATGGGCTTCTCGCTCAAACATGGAATGCAATAATAAAAGACCATGCCATAAATTTCACAGATCATGCATAAGGAATCCCTGATAATTTGCAAGAACATTCCAGATTCCAAGGGAGAAACTACCGTCACTTTGTCATTATAAATAGAGCACCAAATCATAGAAGTTGGACACAAAGATTACTCTAAAGACTTTTACTTTGCACCCATAGTTCTCAGGTTTATTAGCTAGTTTTATTTTGATTCCAGAATTGTAAACATTTATACTCTGTAACCTTTTAATATTAATCAAATACTTGTTCT